TCATTTCAATTTATATAAAACATAATTTATTATAAATTTTTAAAATAGAAAAAAAACTGCATATATAATCGAAGTTTTGTTTTAGTTAAAAATATAAATGCAGGTTTTAATAATCATGAATTACGTGCTTAGGAAAAAATTCTGAAAAATCTACAATATTTGTAACGAATGGTAATTTCTAATCATTTTATATTATTAAGATTACTGTCCGAATTACATTAATCTTGATAATCGTGGATCCATTTATATCAAAAGAGTAATTTTTAATCTAGCTTTGAAGCAGGCACCCTAACTGATTTACCACCGGAAATTCAATAATTTATTATTTTGCATTATGATATATTGATACACCATACATCTGATTAATAAAGAATACTCCAGGCTTACGAATTCTTTAGTTTTTATTCAAACTACAAGTATACCTTCCATCTTATTCGAGCAATCTAATGTAATATGAATAAACGCGGTTTGCAAGTCCGAAGTGATTCATAGCATCTCAATATACCATACCGCAGCAATAACAGAAGATACAGTGCGGATACAGAAAAGAAAATAATAGTTTAAATATATTAAATTTTAAATAAATCATTAAATATTAAGAAACTTGTAACAGGTCTAAAAGCTTGTTGCGTCATTCTGTCGCGAAGCCAAGTTCGGTTTTCATTCGTTATTTTCGAAGTTCAGAAGAGAATAATTCTTAGTTACGGTGCTTAATTTCAACATTGAATTGAAAATAATCAGGTAATTCAAGCCAAAACATTTCTATGATATAACATTATTTTTCATAGGAGAATATAAATATTTGAATTTCCATTATTTAAAATTATTTATTACATAGTATTACTTATTTTGTATTATATGCTTATTATTTAATTCATTATATAAATAAATTTACATATATAATAAATAGGTCTATACATATTCATGTAATAAACACGAAAATTTATAAAATCAAATTAATTTTTCTATATATAATTAATCATCTCTCATTATTATCTTTAATTAATTATATTATCTCAGTCATAAGATTTTGATAAAATATTCATACAAATTATAAAGTTAAATTCATAATTTGTTAATAATATAATAATAAGTGACGACACTTATTTTATATTATAATTAATTGAATAAATATACTTTAAAGGAAAAAATAATAATAATTTGTATGTGTTTTCGCAAAATTTGATTTTTTGACTATATATAGGCTATATTGTATAAAAGATCTAATTAATAAATTTAATTACATTAATCTCTCTTTCAAATAAAAGTTTGATCTAATCTAATGAATCATATACGTCACAAAAGACATATGAAAATCTTAAAAGTTTCAATTGTTTAAATCAGATATCTGATCTCTCTCACACACGACTGCACTCTTAGGTGTGTAATTTACTATCAAGGCTACCTAGTGTTTATTACGCGTTCCAGATGTTCAATTCAGCTTGTTAAAGAATAAAATTTTCTTAATCTCAATTTTTTTTAAAAAAAATACTTCCTTTACACAAAAATAACATATAAAAATTCCTATATTATGTAAACATACACATAATTTCATGATTTTTTTAAATTTAAGATTACGCGGAGAAACGAAATGTCTATTTTTACCTTGAATATATTCAAGGTTATTAAGGACAAAAATTCATATTTAAATTAATATTTTCAATAAATAGATTACACTATGCCATTTCAAGGATGGGATAAATCTGTTTTAATGATTTCAAAGAAGAATATTCATTTTAAAAAAATGAAATCGCTTCGAGAATTTTAATTTTTAGTTATGGAAGAGAATGAATGTCGTCGTGACAAGTTAAATCTGTTAAAACATCAACGTGACTTATTATACAATAACTCGACATGTGAGGCGAAAACATTCATCTTCTATAGGGGAAAAAATATATCAGTTATTTAAAATGTTAATCATAAACTGATATTGATCTTAATATCTATACTTTCATTTCTTTTTACACATTAAATTTGTCAATTTTTTGTATACGTGCTATAAAAAAATGAAGAAATATTAAGTAATGCTTTAATAATTTTATTGTATACTTATAATAGGGTATGTTTGCGATTATATTAATGTAGTTTATAATATATAGATTATATATTTTCATAATTTATATTTAAAATTTATTTATTAGTAATGAATATCTTGAAAATCGCTCGCAAATTTGATCAGGAATAAGGAAGTAAAAATTAAAGCATTATAATTTTAAATATTTTTAAATTTAATAATTTAATAAGCAGTTATATTAACTCAAATATCTGTTTAACGATAATTTATTATTATCTGAAATTAATTTAAAGAGTAAATAATAATAATAAAACTATTTGTATTTAATGTCAATTTAAAATTTTATCTGATAATATTTATTTTTTGGTGAATAATTTAAAAAATTGTTTCAAGATTGCATATAATAAGGAAATTTTCCGGGGGAAAAAATTCAAAACGGAAGTAAAATTATAATTACTTATAGCTGTGAATATTTCTATTGCAATAGAAGATCCGGAATATTCCGGATTTCTAAATTTTTGGGAGAAACTTTTTAATTTAATCCGATTTTTCTCATGTTAAAATGATGATTTTATTTCTGTTATGGATAGATTCGTTTCTAGATTTCTTTTTAAGAAAAGAAATTGCAGAGAAAGAAAGTTTTTAATATTTTCATTTTATATATAAAAACTGACACATCTAATTTCATTTTTCATTATAATTTATATCATTCTCGTGCAATTAAGTCATTGCCAATAACAAACATCACATACAACTGTCATACTAACAATGCAAGCTCTAAAACAAGTTGTATTATATACAACTTGTTTTGACATTTTGCGCAAATAATCAATATATTATACATCCATGAATGGTAGATTTTTTAATTTTATATATAATATGTAAAATCATACTATACAAAGTTATATCATCCGACGAATAATAATACACCAACGTTTATAACCTGTAGAGAAACCCACATTAAATAAAACCTGTAAAGCAGCTAGTTTAAAGATAAGCTCTGAATCATTTATTATTTATTTACATATTAGTTTCACATAAATAGTAAGTTGAGTCATCTGATTGAGATTTTAATTATTATTATACCATATAAGATTGGATCACAATACACTATTTACAAAGTAGAGCTTTACAACTTAATAATTAATCAGTTTACAATACATAAAAGGAAGAAAAATAAATACAGTTGTTTTAATGTGTCTTAATATATTAAATATTAAAAGTATTATGATATTAATTAAATGATATGCAAGTTAGTATATATTAAATACACTTGTTATAGTGAGTTATATTATTATTAAAACACGGCAAAATCTAGTATTGTTTCATTAAGTAACGTTAATTAGTATTTTAAAGGAAATGAAAATCTCCAGCAACTGCAAAATCTACTTTCCCCCTTTCTTTAAAAAAAAAAAAAAAATACCTGAACATGACAGTTTACTGGAAATTCCCGCTGGACACCTACTACACCTACAATAACGTCATTTGACGTCACACAAGAGTTAACGAATGGTGTGTGAGGTGATGGAAGTGGATTTTCCCGTCAAGAATCGCATTGTACAGTTTAAGAGTGGAGCTAACGAGACGTCAGAATAATTTCGAATGGAAAGTTTAATCAGTATTTGAAAAAAAGGTAAGCACCGGATCCAAAAACTAATTTTGAATTTCCCCTAAAACGTCAATATACGTAAACGTCGTAAAGACACATGGTGTCACGTGTTCGATGGTAAACACGAAATCGAGTTATTTTCTAATGAAAATCGAGGACTGAGGAATTCCGATTCGTCATGTTAAATTTCCAATACGTCATGTAATAATTCTTATAACGAATTTCTATTTCTGGAAAAGTATTCCATTTCTTTCTATTGATAATTGTTGGATGTTTTGCTTTCAAGAAAGCGTGTATTTTTTCCCTTCGAAATGCTGGTAAGATCTTCCTTATGTGTCATGTTTCTATTTTATATTTTTCCACAAAATACTATTTTATTTGATCATATTATGCAAAGTCATTCATGAACAATTACACTATCAAAAATTCATCTTGTCGATTTTTTTTTCCAAATTTAAATTCTACATTTTAGTTGTAGTACATGAATTAAATGATAAAAGTTGATAATTCGGCACTAAATAATGGTTAGTTTGCTGTATTTTTATTATATATTCATTTCAAGACTATTTTTAATATTATTATTGATTTAATAGGTATTTAAAGTTAATTCTTTAAGCTTTGTAAATGTTAAATTGTTACGCTTAATACATAATTATAAAAGTAAATAAAAATGTTCTGTATACAAAATCATTTTATGTTTAAAGTTTATCATATTTCACTTTTTTTTTTTAATATGTATGACATATTTTTCTATTTTATACATGTAGAACAGCAATATTTATATATAAATATATTTAAAAAAATGATACTAGTTCTTTAAGAAATTATTTTAAAATTCTTCAAACATATAGAACAATTGCTTTAAAGGAGTTTGAAATATCATTAAATCAGCTTTTTTCTTTTCTTNAAAAAATTTTTAATATAAATATACATTTTACTATAATTTATTTAATATTTTGTTATTTTCCTTGATATATCAAGGAAAATAATATTTTAGAAATCATATAATACAAAATTTTTATTTTAAGCGAAATAAAACTTTGATTGGCTAATGTTTGATTGATTGAAAAATCGGCCTTATATATATTATTTGAGAAAATTCAATGTATTTTCTGCTAGTTTGATTTCTACTTTTTGAAATACTGTACGTTTAATTCTATGTAACGATAAATTTTGTAGGAAATTTGCATATTTATAAACAAATAAAATATGAATGAAACTGTTGTTATCGGTATATTAGTTATATTAATATGTTTGAGCTTTCATTTGTTGATTGTATATCAAACATCTGCATTGGTTATATTGAACATATAGAGAAAGGACCAGGATTTTTCAATAATTTTTAAATATTAGACAAAATGATAAAGATCTTGAATTAATAGATTAATTTCTTTTGTTATGAATTTAAAGATTAATACCATTTTATCTAATTAGTTATATTTTTGATTAAGTTTGATGCTATAACAACTCATTAACTTTATTCAGTAAATTATCTGTATTGTAATGAAACATTATGGAAACTATTTAAGATTAAGAACAAATAAAACAATAGCAAACTGTTGTTTTTTTTTGTTATTTTTATAAAACAATAGATTTTTACATTAATTAAAGGGCTATATTAGAAATAAATGTTTATTTAAAATAATTTTTTATTCAGATATATATATATATTCTATCCAATTTAATTATATAATTAACATTTAGTTGTATTTTTACATAGGAACGATATATGTGGATGGGTGAACCAGGTGTTTTAGTGGGAGACTTAGGAAGTAACCTTGCTGGTCAAGGTGAATTATCACTTGAACATAATACTATATCAACTGCCAATGGTGTTTCATCATGTGGTGCTGTGTACACTATATGTTGCAGTCCTGCAATGGGAATGAACGATGGACATTCAATTCCACCTGTTTCATCATCTTTGCAGATGAACAATGTACAGAATTTAACATTATCTAGTCAAAATATGCAAAATGGACAAATTGGCTTGAATCATTCACCTTACACTCTAGAAACATTACATTCACAGAATATTTGTCATAGTAAGTATTTTTAAAATTTTAAAATGATTATTTCTATTGTGGAACATGTCTCACTCTGGATACTCTCCCCTAAAGTATATGCTTAAAATAAGATTTTTTTTAAACATAAAACCANTTATATTTTTGTGTGCGGTATTTATAATATAAATAATTATCTTCAATACTTTCACCAATAATTTATATCGTTTTAATAAAATTTAATTAATTATCTAAACGATTATCAAAAGATATTCATAAAATAATGGTATTTCATATGGATAAATTAGCCTTATCTTTTCAGTATTGTTATATAGGAATGCTTATATAATTCAGTTACATAAGTTAAAACTAATCATTATTTTAAAAATTAAAAATAAAATAGCATCAATTAAATATTATTAATGAGGTTTCATAGCACATTAACTTTAAATTAAGTTGTAATTACAATTAATAAATTACCAAATTGTAAAATTCTCTCATAAGAAACAATAAACAATCGAAATGTAAAGTAGATTTAAATAATCGAACGTGAGATTGGGATTAAGATTCTCATTAAGAAAATATGATATTAAACTTTTATTGTTTCTTTTTTCGTAAAAAAAATCCACAATTTTTTTTATTTATTTATTTTAAAATAGTAGAGACAACCAAATTCAATCAAGGACAAATATTTAAGGATGCATTGTATATTGTTGAACAGACAGAACAAGGTCATCGTAATAATCCATTCTGTTTATAAACAAAGTTTTATTATGATTAAATAACCATTTCAAAACACCGATATAAATTAAATGTATTTAGATAATAGCGAAATTAAATATTTAAAAGAAAAAAAAAATGTTTAAGATAAAATAACTCCACGTTGTTCATTAGGACATTAAACAATAACGTCACGTTCTCGAATTTGATTGAAGTTTGAATATAATATTTAAAATTTTTTTTCGTAGATATAATTAGATAAGTGAAAGTAATAGCGAACAAAGCTTCTACAAATGTATATATATATACTTAAAGTTTTTCTTCTTAATACAGTTTAATTACAGATCAGTGGACAACTTTTCGATTGTATTCAGTTCCAAGGTAACAAATGTTTATTCGTTCAACCATTAAGTCGCATACTGTAAATTATGATTACGAAATTATTAATTATAGTTATATATAAGTTTGCATTTAATTCTAACTACTTTCTAAGAAATAAAACTGGTTGTCAATTCTTTTTAAATAAATGTAATATTAGAGGTTTTCGTGTTAATTTAAAATAAATTTATAATTGAGTTATACTCTAAACCCTTTTAAAACTATTTATTTTTTTTAA